AACAGCTGCTGACTTTGCTGACACCACGCCTACCCAAGATAAGCCCCGGTGCATAACCCTTATTTTGAACAATTACTAGAAATATATATATGATGTGCATTATGTTATAGGCATTTTATGAAACTACATGAATAGATATGCCTACCTATGAGTCCTACTAGCATAGGTCGAGTAGCTGCTATGCTTAGGATTTTTGGTAGCGTGAGTAACCAGTCATTACTCACAATAGGTGATTATTATTATCACTCTTATGATAAAAGGTGAAAGGAAAAATGGAGACCGGGCAGGGATATGGTACGGGTATTGGTGGGTGTAAGAGGTTGTGTCCTGCGACCAACAGGGCATAGCTTGGTTACACTGTTTTCCCTGTCCATGTCGGTTAAGGACCGGCCGTTGCATTGGATTCTAGTCAGGTCACAGACTTATTATCCTAAGCACATACTTGTTTATGGGAGCAGGGAAGGCTCGTTACTCTCTTGTCGTGGGTTTTGGCTCTTTCTGGACCGACTGATTGGAGGCGGGGATGGTTAAGGTCTAAGCACCACACTGAGTCTAGGACTCAGGTGTGGGGGCTTAGAGTCCAAGTTTAGACAGGGACCTGGACCCCTTGACAGGAGAGTGGTGGGTTGGTCCTACTTGTGCCTGGGTATAAGCGAGGTGTGTGTTTTGGGGTACCCAGCTGGGCACATTGATTCACGAATCACCGGGTAATCCGGTACGACTTGTCTACAATCTAGCACCATAGTAAGAACTGGAAAAAGAAAGATGGTGAAATGGACCTGATTGCTCAACTCTTGCTTGAAAGTAGAACAGGTGCTTACATAGAATGGTTAGCTCATGAACTAATCATGACTGCTAATAAAACACATACATAAGGATTTACTACTAGTATTGCTTTTTGCAAAAAGGAACCCAGCAACCCATAAAGCATAGCATATCCTTTGGAGTCAGGAAATTATTCCCACTGGTCGGATAAGTCTTGCGAGTACATTGTGTACTCAGGGTTTATTTACCCCTATTGCAGGTGTAGCTTGAGGAGTAGCTGTTGTGTGAAGGATTCTTCTAGTGGGCATAGACGAATCCTTGTATATTATCGATAGATGTTTATTTTAATTCCGCTGTTTAATTTCCGCAGTCTGAACTTGGTACTGTAATAATGTATTTCTAAGAACTCTGGTTGTATGAAATGGACTAAGTATTGTAAACTCGTTCTCATTATTGGATCCTAGAGGAAAAATGTGGATTATTTGAGTTCTCCCTTAGGCTATGCTCGACAGAATCCGCCCGATGTAGCTGGCTTTCGGGGTGCTTAGTGTCTGGTGGTAGACGGGCGCCTCCGAAGGTGTGCTATTTCGGGCGGTTCCGCCACATAAACTCACCCCTCATCTCAAGAGTTGAGTCTCTTGACTTGAGAATGAGGAAGGGGTGTAAATCCCTAAACCTTAGTGGCTAACCTCAACAACGTGGACAAAGGCAAGCCTTGGTGGCGAGCTGAACCACGGGCTAAATCACCGTGACACCTTGTGCTTGATTTACATCATTTGCATTTTATATTGTTGTTGAGGTGATTTCTAGGGTTTGTGGTTGATATACTTATGTGTTGTGTTCCTACCACTTCTAGCTGTCGATCTATGAATCTCATACCTGCAGGAAGCTAAGAAATTTCTCTGATTCAAGTTTACATTCACTGATTTTGAACTATGACTCGAAGTTGTCTGTAGGTGCGGCGGTGTCACTGTTCTGGCCCGGCAGTGCCGCTGTCCGGCAGTGCCACGAGGTCAGAGTGGCAGTGCCGTAGGTTGAATTTGATGAAAGTTTGAGTGTTTGTTTTGACAGGCCTATTCACCACCCTCTAGGATAATCAGAGATCCTACAAGTGGTATCGGAGCCGGTTACCTCATGTGCGCTTCACCGCATGAGGTATGGAGCCTGAAGGAGGAACTAGTGGCGTGAAGCCGGTGGATGTCGACACCGACAGCAAGCAGTTGAGCGCATCAATAGCAAGCAATACCACGCTACCACATCTTGAGGCTACCAATGCCGAAAGAACACTCAATAACAATGAGAAAAGAAGAAGGAAGGAGACAAGAAAGCTCAAAAGAGAAGCAAGAGAGAGGAAGAAGGAGCAGCAACGGTTAGAAGATAAGAAGCAAAGAAAAGAAGAAAGAAAGCTCATAAGAGAAGCAAGAAGAAGAAGGAAAGAAGCTAGGAAGAAGGAAGAAGAAGAGATGGCAACAAATGCATCATCAAGTGACATATCAAGTAGTTCCGAAGGTGGAGATGATGATGAGTCCTACCAAGTGTCGAAGGGGGACAAGAAGGAGAAGAGAGGAAAGGGCAAAGCCAACAACAACAAACATGCCGCCGTATCCTTTAACTACTCTTCTATACCTATGACTAACCATGATTGGAGGTCTTTCATCAATGTGCCCGCGGGCAAGCTACCCCATTTTACTGGGACTAACTTTGCCAAGTGGAAGCACTTGATGAGAGCCTATTTTATAGGTCTTCACTCCGACATTTGAGAGATTGTTTATAATGGATTTGAGCCACTGGTTGATCCTAAGAACCCAACACTAGAAGAGATGAGAATCATTCACCTCAATGGTCAAGCCAGAAGTGTGTTGCTTAGTGCTTTAGATGGTGATGAGTACAATAGAGTGATTGGGGTTGATATTGCCAAGCAAATATGGGACACTTTGCACCTAGCACATGAAGGGGTTAACAAAGTAAAAAAAACAAGAATTGATTTGTTGATGTCAAAGCTCAACTGGTTTGTAATCTTGGATGGAGAAGGACCACAAGAGATGTTTGATAGGTTGATGACAATGGTGGGTAAGATTAGAGGCTATGGTTGTGATGAGCTAGATGATCATAAAGTTGTCAAGATTATGTTGGAGGCTTATTCACCTAGAAATAAGACTGTAGTGACTCTAATTAGAGACAAGAAGAAGTTTGTGTACTTCACACCAAATGATATACTTGGGAGGATCTTGACCTTTGACATGCAAAGAGAAGAAGCAAATGAGAAGAAGAAGCTTAGTGAATTGCAAACAAAGCTAGAAGACATCAAGATCAAGGATGTAGCTCTCAAGGCCAACAAATCAAGTAAGCAAGGATCTACAAGCAAGTCCAAGACACTACAAGAACACCTTCTTTCTATGACAAAAATCCTCGTGACAGGGCAAATTTTTGTCATATAATATATCATAATAATACGCAAAAGTCTGTGGCGTCATAAAATCAAGACCGTTGGAACTATAGATGATTATTCTTTTTCTTTTGTCACATAAGGGTACCAAGGATCGTCATAAAATGTAATTTTTAGGTAGCCTGACTGACGGTGGTGAATTTATGATGATATATGGAGTTTTTATGTGACAGTAGTAGACCATCACTGAATGTTTTTTTAAATATGATGGCCCCAATGTCAATGTACGCAGCCCAACGTGGGAGAGGGATAAGGCGCGTGACGTTGGGCTTGGAGCTAGGACTCAGCCCAGGTGAAAAGGAGATAGGCTGGGCCTAAAAGCGTTGGGCTGAGAGACGTTTTTTCTTTTTTCATTTCTTTTTCCTTTTTAATTTGTAAATCCATTTTGAGTTCAAATTCAAGAGCTTTAAATTGTTCAAACAAGTTCAGATGAAGAAATGACCAAGACCAAAGTTGTAGATCTCGATGAGTTGTACAACTTTGTTGTTGCCCACTTTTTCATTTGAAATCATTTTACTATGTCAAAATTCTATTCAAATTTATCAAATTTTGAAACTCGAATTTAAAATTACCCAAACGAATTCGGACGAAGAAATGACCAAGACAAAAATTATAGGTATCAATGAGTTCTATAACTTTGTTGTATACAACTTTTTATTTGAAATCATTTACTCTCCCAAAATTATGCTCGAACTTCTTATATACCGAAGTTCTCACAAATCATATGAACAAGCGCAGTTTTTCTTTTTAATCTCTGGCTAAAACTTGTAACTAGTCTTTCTCCCTTATACTAACTTCAAATTTGATGATTTTTTCTGAATTTTTCTAAAATCATACTCTATCAATTTCTTGCGTTCTTACAGCTATTATTTTTGCCATTTTTCATATGACTTTGTTCTATCAATTCAAAATTTGAATTTTAAAAAATAGCAACTTCAAACAACATTTTCAAGCAGTAAATGATTTCAGCTAAAAAAGTCATGAATATAAAAGTTGTAGAAGTGGTCAAGATCTACAACTTTTATTTTGATCATTTGTTCATCCGATAAAGTGATAGTAACATTGTTTACAAATTTTACACATCTCTTTATGGGATGAACAAATGATCAAAATAAAACTTGTAGATCTTGATCAGTTCTACATTTTTTATGTTGATGACTTTTTCATTTGAAATTATTTAGTACCCCAAAATTATGTTCGAAGTTCTAATATTTTGAAATTCAAAATTCGAACTGTCCAAACAAAGTCATATGGGAAAATGACCAACACAAAAGTGGTAGATCTCGATGCGTTATACAACTTTGTTGTTGACATTTTTTCCATTTAAAATCATTTATTACCCCAAAAATCTATTTGAATTCCTCATATTTTCAAATTTAAATTTTAAATAGTTCAATCAAACTCGGATGGGGAAATGACCAAAACAAAAGTTCTAGGTCTCAATGAGTTGTACAACTTTGTCATTGACAACTTTTCTATTTGAAAGACCAGGTGTGTCATGCTAAATTCTGTTCATTTAAAAAATATACTTAAATGTTAAAATAAAAAAACTTGACGCAGTATGTTAGACCTAATCCCTAACCAACTTCGGCCCACCACAGCCCAAATCAAAGGCCCACTTTATCCTGGACGTTAGATTGAAATGGACGGTCAAGATGCACTCGGCCTTAAATAAATCCCAGTCAGAACCCTAGCCCTCACCCTGCCCGTCACTCAGACTCTCCTACTCGCCCGCCCCTCTCTCCGCCCGTAATCTAGATCCTGCTTCGCACAACCTCTCCTCCGATGGATGCTGCCTAGCCCATCCCTTCCTCTCCTCTGCCATACACTCACTTTCCTCAGCGATGGTGTGGATGCGGCCCTAGCACAGGTGGCGTCAACGGCGCTGGATGTAGCCTTAGTGCGGTCAGCGGCAACGGTGCTGGATGCAGCACCAGATCATGCGGCGGCAGTGGCACTTAATGCGGCACCGGTGCGGGTGGCGGCGATGGCGCTAGATGCGGCACCAGCACAGGCCCAAGGAGGATCTCATCCCTGTTGCTGCCCTTCTGCGGGTTGCCGGAGGCCGGAGCTCGAGTGCTCGACCGCACGCACATTGGTCGTCGGGGAGTTCAAGCTGTGGATGCATCTTCGTCACTGCAGACTGCACCGAGCACCATCCACTCTCTCCAAACGTGTTACGGTGATCCACTGATTCTTCTTCTCAAATCCCAATCATTTTTGCTAGAAGTAGTACTACTACTTGGATTCATAGTAGACTGGATACTAGAGATCTGTTAGTAGAAGTAGTACTCCTATTTATTAGTACAAGTACTATTGCTAGTCTGCTACTTGATTAGTTAGTAGAAATTAAATACGTACCCGAGATCAATTAGTAGAATTAGTGCTCTTGTACTTAGACTCTTTAGTACCTTTAAGTACTACTGCTGCCTGTTTATTTAGTAGAAATCTGGCTAGTACTTTAATCGTTACTAGCACTGCCTTGCTGGTGATTTAATAAAGCAATTTAGTTAGTAGAAATATGGCTAGTACTCTGAACTGCAACCCAATTATCCAAATTTATACAGAGAAAACAAACTATAAGAATGACTAAAGTAGAATGCTACCTACCTGCAATGTTATTTTTACTCAAGTTACCCTTTTGGTTGTGGGAATGCAATGTCAGTAGCCTTGGCATTACCAGCATATAGTAGTTATAATGAGGGGAAGATATGCATACAGATTGCATGTTTTTTGCTTAACATCCAGTCATTGGGGCTTATTAGTGGACAAATTGGTGTTGTTTTCTGTAAAATAAAGGTGACATTGCTCTAGTTGTATATCATATTTAAGAGCCCAGTTGTAAAAGAAATCCAGATTCAGTAAATATATGACTACAAAATGGGGAATGTATGAATAGTCCGCAAAATGGTCGTACTCCTCTTGTAAATGAGATATATGTAAGTTACATAATTATTGGATACATGTACTTTACTCAAGTAAATGCCTAGTGAACACTTCTATGACCTTGTTAAGTGGATTCATGCTATGTAGGAACATATGCTTGCAGAGAAGGAAAGAGAACCAGAAGAAGCACTAAAGTAGAAGCTCAGTTTGAGGCAACACTCCAAGCAGAAAGAGAGGAAGCTGCTAGGAAGCACGAACAGTCAGAAGCACAGATTCTTGCTCAACAGGCCTCACTTGAAGCAAACCAAGCAGCACTTGAAGAAAACCAAAATTTGTTACGCCAGACCCAAGAGGAAGTGAGGGGGATGCATACCAAGTTTGAAGAGACTAATGCACTGCTACGAGCTATGCTAAAACTTTATTAAGATTGAGGTAGGTCTGCACGATGTTTTAGTTGATGATGCCTTTGCCTAATCTTTTGCTACATTGTGAGAACACCAAACTTTCTCTATGTTTGTTGGAACGACTTTGTGCACTATATTGTCAGAAACTATGTGCAACTTATTTGCATCTATTTGTATGTTTGAACTTGTGTGATGAAACCTATCACTAGTGTGATGTTTGAGCCTGCAAGCAATTGTGTCTTGTCTTATGGTCTGGAATGTATGTAGATGATGGCTTGGCTGATATGTATGAGCTACGATGAGAATGCTGGAAAAGTCTGTGTGACATTCGTCATTGAATTAATACATATGGCAATGCCACATTTGTCATCGAATGAAGGTAATGACGACCCACATTCGTCACAATAACTTGTCTAAATCAGGTTCCTAGGACACAATTTATGACGGTTGGTGTATTAGGTGACGAGTTGACCAACTAATATGTGACAGTCACAGTTGTCATTAAATGACAACAATACATGACGACACAACAAAACCATCACAAAAGGTCATCACATTTTGTGATGGTTTTCTATATTTTCATCACAAGGTACATTTTGTGACGGTCGTTATATGACGACCTTCATGACGGTGGTTTTTCGTCATACCATTCATTTTGTGACAAATTCTGTACTTTCCATGACACTTTCAGCTTGTTATAAAAGCCTAGATTTTTTGTAGTGAGATCAACAAGCAAGCTTCAACTAGCAAGCCCAAAGCAATCAAGCAAGTCTAAGAAAGAGTAGAAACCATATCATCTTCAAATGAAAGTGAAAATGATGATGATCAATATGAGAAGGTTGATGATGTTGCTCTCTTTATGAAGAGGTTTCACAAGGGGATAAAGAAGCAAGGCTACAAGGTAGTGAAGAGAAACTTTCTAAACAAGAAAAAAGGACATGCTATAATTGTGGTAGCACCGATCACTTCATTGCCAAGTGTCCATATGAGATCAAGGACAACAAATACAAGAAGGACAAGAAAGAGAAGAATGACGACCGTAGAAAAGAGCAAAAGTACATGGGAGAGGCTCATATTGGGCATGGATGGAACTCAACTAGAGAGAGCACAAGTGAGGAGGATGAGAAGATTGTAACCATTGCTATTCACAAGTCATCCTCTACACCAAGGCTCTTGAACAACATGTCCGATGATGACTACTACTCCCCTCACTTTTGTCTGATGGCAAAGCATGAGAAGGTAAAATCCAAATCGAAGGCCAAATCTCCTCCACCTCCTAGTGATACTCTAGTAGTGATATTAGTGATAGCTCTAGTGATGATGAATCTAGCGATGAAGAAATAAACATGATAACTAAAAATTTGGATGGAAAGACCAAATTATTCATCACTAAGCTAATGGAGGATTTAGAGAGTGTCCAAGTTGAGCTAGAATCTAGAGAAGAGACTCTTATTCAACAAGAGGATCTCTACATTGCTAGCAAAGAAGCTCGTGCATTAGACAGAAGTGAGGTGGAATCCTTGCGCAAGGCTTTGGCCAAAGAGCAAGAGGACCATGCTATTACAAAGAAAGCAAATAAAGCTCTCAAGAAAAAGTATTATGACTTGGATGAAAATCACAAAGAACTTGAGATGCAATATGGAATTCTTTGGGATAGCAACTCATATCTCCCTAAGGCAAAGGAAACCTCTACTCCCTCCACTAGTCAAGGTTGTGGAAAATGTTTTAATCTTGATTTGAATGCTTATTTCACTAACCTTGCAAACATGGAGGCTATGAAAAACAAGATTGCTAGGCTCAATGAAATCATTGGAAAAGGGTGGATGGGTGAGACCTAATCTAATGACAAGAAGAATGATGAATCAAAAGGGCCACAATTCAAGCAAGGAAGGCATCCCCCAATCAAGCATGGGCTTGGACACACAAAAGGAGCCAAGACAAATGGAAGAAGGATAGTGAATGGCTATGAGTGTGTGCAGTTTGAGAGGAAGAGCAAAATTGGTACAGATTAGCCTACACAGACTGTAGTAGTGCAGCGTCCCCGAGCAGCAGTGTTGCACAGCAGCAGTGCTATGGTGAAGGGCGGCAGTGCCACGCCTCAAAAAATGGGAAGGCTACCAATTCTGTTCCTGATCAAACTAAGCCCAAGAAGGTGTTCCAGCAGAAACATGTTTTCCAGAAGCCTAAGGAATCAATGTGGGGCAACAAGAACAAGTATGCCTATCAACCAAAGATCTATGCACCTCGACAAAGCTTGACATCATGCTTTGTTTTGAAGAGCAATAGCAGTGGAAAAGTGGTTGCCAAATATATTGGAAAGGAAACCAACATATATAGGAATACTTCTTTTTGGGTTCCTAAGTTTCTTGTGACTAACATGCAAGGCCCCAAGTGAAATTGGAGACATAAATCTAGCAACTAAACTTGTTTTGTAGGCATACTCCTCCGGTGGATCAAGTTGGGTGCTTGATAGCGGATGTACAAATCACATGATTGGAAAAAGGAGTATGTTCTCATCATATTCCCTGATGACGCACTCAAATGAAAATATTGTCTTTGGAGATAATTCAAAGGGGGATGTGATTGGTCTCGGTAAAGTTGCTATAACCCTTGAGCATTTGTCGACAAAAGATGCTCGACAGTCCACTGAGAGGTATCCCATGATGGTAGATTTGTCATAGAGGTGAGCGAGATCAGGAGCGAGATGGTGACAAGACACAAGATTTAGACAGGTTTGGGCCGTCTGGTCGACGTAAGACCCTACGTCTTGTGTCTTTGGTTGATTGTATTAAATATGAGATGATTTCGAGGGGGTCCCTGCCTGCCTTATATAGTCTGGGGGACAGGGTTACAAGTTGATTAGATATAGATCTATTCGGCTATATGGTAAGTATTTACGAGGAATACGATATCTATCATATCCGAATAGATCCTTTTCTATCTTCTAGATTCTTTTGATTGCCTTGTTGTGCACGCCAACCAGAGCCGAGCACCGTAGGCCATGATCTTATGGGCTGGACCTTCCCTGGTGGTGCGGCCTATATCCCTTGTCGTGGGTACCTAGGGTTATACCCCCCACAGCTAGTCCCCGAGCGCCTTGTATCCTTCAAGCAACGCAGTCTTGAACAAATCTGAGTAGTTTGACTTGAAGCCGATCAGTTTAACTGGTGATCCGAGCAGTGAAAGTCAAAGCCGACCAGTTTAACTAGTGACTTGGGCGGCGAAAATCAAAGCCGACCAGTTTAATTGGTGACCTGGGCGGTGAAAATCAAAGCCGACCAGTTTAACTGGTGACCTGGGCGGTAAAAATCAAAGCCGATCGGTTTAACTGGTGACCTAGGCGGTGAAAATCAATGCCGACCAGTTTAACTGGTTAGGAGACCTCGGACTTAGCCAAGTAAGGCTTGCCAGAAGGATGTAAGGGGCTCAAGATAAAATTTGAAAATTCTTTCCCTTAGGATAAGTGTAGCCACTTAGACTTCGTGAATAAATAGGGTAAATCAAGAAATAAGCACTACATTCACCGCCAGGAGAAGTGTAGCTACTTAGTCCCCAAGCCTGCTGGAAGATGAAGAATGAATCTTGTAGCAGGGTCAAAGAAAAGAAGCCTAAAAGCTTGCCGACATCATCTAACATGCGCGTATCAAGACCCCAGATGTGCTGCCCAAGATCAACACCCTGATCCGAACAGCATGGAGCAGCTTGATAGCACACCGATGAGACATAGCAAGATCCGACCACCAAGGGAGTCCCTAGCTTAGCTGGTAAGCCCCCAACGTAGCTGACGATCAAGCGACGAACAATCCGACCAGTTGGTTGGCAAAGAAACGAGCACTGAGCAGCCCAACCAACTGGTCGGTGGCAAAGTGAGCGTTGAGTAGAAGTGACCGGTGAACAATCCGATCAACTGGTCAGTGATGAAGTCCACAATCCTAGCGGTCCGACTAGTTGATCGGTGGAGAAGTCCGAGCACTAGGTGGTCCAACCACCTGGGCGATGATCCTCCAAGGGAGTCCCCAGCTTAGCTTGTGACTCTTGTATGAAGATCCCAAACACCGAGGAGTCCCCAGCGTAGCTGGCGAGCCCCCACCGTAGCTGACGTTGAAGTACATGCGATGAGCAGTCCAACCAACTAGTCAGTGGCGAAGTGAACACCGAGCAGGAGTGAGTGGCGAGCAGTCTGACCAGTTGGTTGGCGGTGAAGTCCATCCAATAGGTGGTCCGACCACCTAGACAATGAGCGTAAGCTCGTTGGCCAAACCATGCCCCTATGAATGAAATGTGTAGAATGGGTAGTACATGATGTAAAAATGAACTCTGGAGAAGAATCAGCAGTGATGAAACAGCATATGCAGCTCGGTGATCAGTTGGTGTAAACACTAAGTGTTCTTTTGGAGATATGTTTATATTTAATATAGACCGTCCGACTAGTTAGTTTGTAGCTGAGCCTCTAGGCCTAGCTAGCCCGTTAACCATGACGCGAAGCGCGGAGCCCGTGTGTGTGTAGGAAGAACAAAGCGTTGCTAAGGAGCCACTGTCGACCACCCATAACACAGAGGGTAGACGCTCGTGCACGTGTAGGGATGAGCCGGGGACAGGGCCATCTCAGGGGACATCTAAGCGTCAACATGACTGTTCAGGGATTTGCCTTAGACTTAGTTGTATGTCATTGTTAAGATGGTATACATGAAAAAAATTTGTTTGGAGAACAAACATGGAGAAACAGCTCGGAGAAAGATCATGGCGATATATGAAGATTGGAGAATATTTAGAAGAATATTAAAGCATGACTTAGCTTTAGACAGAACATCTGGTCAGTGGCGTATGGCGTTATTTGGTCGGCGTTGATGAAATTGCCCGGCTCACGAGCTTCCGGCCTATTGTCATGGCGGTGGTCACGGTTGTCGTGGCGTCGTTCTTTGCGGCGATCATCATTGCAACGCGGCAGGTGGTCAGAGCGAGTAGTTCGGGCAATGTCGTCCTTATGTTACTGGTCGGCGACACGGGCATCTCACTTAACG